TAATAATAATAATAATAATAATAATAATAATAATAATAATAATAATAATAATAGTAATAATAATAATAAGGTCCTCTATAAAATAAAAAGTATTAAAATCTAAAATAAGAAATACAAGTATCACAGATCTAAAATATAAAATATACAATAATCAAAACTATTAAAAACTACCAAAACTACCTACTGTCATTTTTTCTAAAAATGTTTATCCATTAAGAACCTTATAAGGTTTTTCTTAAAAATTGTGCATGGCATTGGTTCATTGCATTGTTCATGTTTGTTGTGATTGGTCGGATATGACTAGACAAATCAAATGAAATACTTACCTAAACAGTTCTGTTTCTTTCTCTTTACGCATCTTCGCCATTTTCTGCAGAATAACACGAAAATACAGCCATTAATATTAGGGAGCAGTTCGTCAGAATTTCTGCCAAATACTCTGTTTTTAATTCTTCCAGTTACAAATAACGGTTCACTGGGTGGCCCCATCTGCAGACCGTTTATAGCCCCTCTTTTTTTAAAGCTGTTAAACTATCCGTAGTTTAAAATGCACAGAAGCTTTTTAATTGCCTGCAAATATTTCTCAATCATAGCAAACGAACACTATTTTATTTGGGACATAGTATTTGCACAAGAATTTCTAACATTGTTCATGATTGTACATTTGGTTGACGCATGTTTGGCCAACATAATTGAAGAGCTTTGTACAGCATTTTGGGGATACTCAATGTATTAATTAAAATGTACATATTTTACATGTAGACATTTCTGGCCACTTGGACGGTTACTGAAACAGGATACTGGCTATAAGTTTGATACAATTACTGTGGCACTTTTTAGGCAGGTTCACAAGTCTTTTGCTGGATTTTACACTCCCATACACAAATATTTGCAACAAAGATTTGTTCATGATCATCTTTACCTTTTTAGCCTGACCAAACTGTCGAATTTCTTCCTCTTCCTCTTCAATTTTCTTCTGTTCTATTTGATGTCTGGCCTACACAAAACCAGGGATCACTCAAGTTAGCAAATGACCTATAACAAAAGTGTACATCTTGACAGGGATTAAAAAATGAAAAATGTTGGAGGCTGCCCTTTCCATGTATATGCAAATATTGCATTTTTTGTCTATAGAAATATGTTGACCTTGGGAATGGTAAATGTCCAAAAAGGGGATAGAAGTGAGGTACCTGGTACCTGCTCCTAAGCTCAACTAAATCTAATGTACCTGAATGTATGACTGGATTTAAGAAACGTGGTCAACAACAACAACAATGCAAAGTGCATTCTTTACATTAGCTAAGTGAGCTATGTGCGTGGATTCTACAAGCCCTAAAGGTGCAAAAAAGGAGGAAAGTGCAATAAGGAAGACAAGAGAGTAGAGGAAAAAAAAAAGATGGAGTCAGACATTCCTTTGAATTTTTACATGTATATCGTCTACTTTGATATTAGTCCTTATCCAGAAAAACAAAAGAGAAGAAAGAAAGACTAGACCGATAGGGAGAAATTATTTTTAACAATGGTTTTCATAAATCCAGAGGTCTATAGTTACACACAAAGGCATGCTTTGAGTAGAGGCTCTCCAGGGGCTTTAACTCCAAACAGGATCTTTTCAATGCTAACAGGAAATGTGCTTGATTAAAAGTCAATCTAGAGGTTTTTATCATTGTGTACTTACTTCTCTATCAGCTAACTGCCTCTGATGTTCTTCCATGATCTCCTTTTTATCCTTGAAAAAACAACACCACAAAAGCCGATCAGACAACCATTTCTCTCCAGCACAAATGTATGTGTTATATCATAAACAGTCCTATAAGCAATCCATTTCCCTATTTCAGGGGTGTCACTACCATTTTCAGCAGGAGAGCAACTGGTTTTCACAGGTGGAGTGAACTTCTTTATAAGAAACACATTCCTCTACATGGTCAAAGCCGGTCAATTTGACTGGTGCTTGACCCTTAATGAAACCCCTGCTAAACAAAAACACCGGAATAACAAAAATTAAAAATAAATTATCTTAGGTACAAAGAATGTTATTTTTAACAATTACCTTCCGTCGTTGTTCCTCAATGGCTTGTTTAGCCGCCATGTACATATCCACTTGTTGTTTAATGTTTTCTCCTTCTTCAGTGTCAAGTTGCTTTGCTTTTTTAGACTCTTCAATGTGATCAAGAATTCTACAAAAATTCATGAGGTAAAGAATGTTGTGATTTATTTATAGCTTATGAATACCTTGAAGAAATTTTTACTGACTAACTAAAATGAAACAGCGTGTACCCAGTCATTACTACAACACAAGAGGTAAGTGTATATGTGCATGTATCACTTGTTAGTTTGAGTTTTGACCCAAATATTAATGTCAAGTTTTCTTCCTGTTGATATACATGACTTGCATAACTGTACCCCTCACCCCCCCCAACAAAAAAAAGTCAATATCCTTAAAGATCTTGACCAGGATCTGTGAGGGTCTTAATTAAACTTTTTGATAAGATCCTGATTAACCTCCTTTCCAGGATACTTGAAAATAATATTGTCACCAGAGGTATGCATAACTAAAGCCTTAAAGCTAAATGTACTCTTCCTTGTACTGCATGCAGTTATACCACTAGTCATGTAACTGCGCATGTGCAGTATATAGTAGCCGTTCGTAGAGACATGAATGATTAATGCAGCTATGACAACTTAAGCACATAACTGCAGTCATCATTACTGTCATTATATATTTCTCCACAATTCAGATATCTGATTTTTCATAATACACTTGCATAGTAGCTGTTCGTAAGCAGTTCACAGTCACTAGGTGATCATACAATGTATGTCCTGTAATGTGCTACAAGCAGCACTTACTGGAGGTTTTGGAAATCTGCCACTGCTTTCCTCTCATTGTATCTTCTCAATGCCCTCTTTTGGTCCTCCATGATAGCCTCTTCACGTTGCTAGAGAAAAACATGCAAACAGCAGGTCAACAACTCTACATTCTCTTGTTTCATCTTTTCCAAACACAGTAGACTAGCAACTTTAAAGATGAACAGTGTACAGTACTTGTGTTTTTGAGCAGATACATTTTTATGGATTGAATAGTCCCATCACTTACCCTTTGTTGTAGTCGCAGAAGATGTGCCTCTCTGATCTTCTCAGCATCAAGCTTGCCATTCTTCATTTCAATCTGGGCATCTCTCTCCTTAAGAACCTCTGTTAGCAGCAGTGCACCCTAAAAATAAAGAATCAAAAAGGCATTGAACATAACATGAGCTGTAGATATACAGGGACACTGAAAATGTTCTGTTTTTGCTTTGCATTATGTGATCAATGCTGATTGTAAACAAGATTTATGGTGTCTGTATCTCTGGTTTCTGTAGCATGAAGTGACTAGAAGTATTTTTACTCCTCCCTGGATGGGATGTTAGTCCATTGCAGGGTTACCCCCAGCATTAAATTTACCAGTATCATTTATACACCTGGATTGAGAGAGGCACTGTGAGAGTAAAGAGCCTTGCCCAAGAATGCAACATAATGTCCCCTGCCAGGTTTCAAACCCTGACCTCTGAAACCGGAGTTAAGTGCACTAACCACGAGTCCACTTTGTCTCCCACAAGGATAGTGTCCTAGGGCTGTACAAATATGTACATGTATGTACAGCTCTGTGTTTAACATTCTACAGGATTCTGGAGTCTTGTTGGACACAAATATTTGAACCATCTAACGTTAATGATCCTCTTTCAAGGCCTGGTCTGAGTTGCCACCAAGGGTACTACATCAGCAAAACTGACACACTGGTTGTGGGTGAAATTTGGGTGGCAGGGACATGCAAGACTAGGGAGTTGGGGCCCAGGAAGGGGGCCATTCTGGGGGGAATACAGATCAGAGGGTACTGGGGGTAGCCACCCTGGAATAAAAGTTCCAGACTTGCCTCCAGGGGCGAGGCCCACATCCCACAATCCTGGACATAGTTTGAACCATCTAATATACAGTGTACATCTACATGTACATGCACATACAGTTGTTTTGAAAAAGTTGCCCTACCGAAGTGCAAAGGCATAATTTATCAATCAGCATTGTTGGGTGTGCTTTTATGCTTCTGCAGGACATCACTTTGTTGAAACAGCTGTAACTACATGTATATATTTACTATTGCGGAAGTCATTTGTTTACAGTAACATCAGTTCTTACATGGAATGTCTTCACTCTATCAGTCTGGTAGTACTGAAGGGTCTTCGCTCTCTCAATGGCCTCCTTTCTTTTCTGTGCCTGGTGTTTAGCTTCTTCTATGTCAATCTTAACTCTTTCCTCCTGTTAAAAGGATTTTTACAGTTAAGAGTTAATTTAATTGCTGTCCAGATCTTAGTAACCAAGAGTGATGGTCATACTGAGGGACTGTATCAACCCTACGTCCTGACGTTCAATGTATTTGCACTTTTACATATTTTGCCATTAAATTGATTAAATAAATTAGAGATTTATTACATGAATCGGAGTATTCACAAAATTTTGCAGTAGGTGACTTTATTGTTGGCAAAGATGACTGATTTTTTTTTATCTTTTTCTGAAAAAACTGCTCAGCTGCAAAGCAAGATCATGAAGTAAACTGTGGCTTTACACATTTAAGATTTGTTTTTTTTCCTTACCTCCTCCTTCTCTTCTCTGAGTTTCCGAGCTTGCAGCTTCTTTAGTCTTTGTCCCTGCAATAATATGTTGAAATGAGAATAGGATCTTACTTAAGTTGTTAACTAGTTGAGTGTCAAGCAGAAATTTCAATTTTTTATCGTGCTTGTTACTGGGGAAGACATGTAAGCTTGCATGCATTAAAAGTATGATCAAAAAGAATCGTTATTGCCTTTCAAGAGTTTTAACAGATCTTTTTACTTATTCCATCACTTTTTAAATTCATTTCCCTAAAATAAGCCTTTACGTAAAGAAACGCGCACACTAAATTCGAAAATATCATACCTCGATCGTATTTTCCCAATGTTTTACCGACTCCTTCGACAGAGCATGGAGTTCTTCCCTTTCCTGTCTCTTCGCTTGCAATCGCATTTGCTCTTCGTTATAATGTGAAAGACTATTTTGTATTCGCCTCCATGCTTCTGGCTGGAGAACTGTTACCTAAAAACAGATCATTGTACAAGAGTTAGGACAGATTCCTTTGTTGAGCGACAGAAACAACTGAACGACAGATTTCAAGAAACTTGTGTCTCGTCGACAGTAAAACTCTATCTCACCTCTCGCGGATCAACTCCTTCAGGAATGACACTTATATTTGTTCCACCCATTTCTAAACGACGAAAAGGTAGAAAAATAACTTAATTTCACATATCACTCAAAAATAAGCGTTTACGAGACGAGATTACCTCTTGTTTGGCCTTCTCGCCGACCATGCATGATTCTTGACGCCATCTTGGTTGGAGTTGCTTCTTGCAGTGGTCAGAAGTTTGCCTTCGTTTCCAAGGCGACTTCCAAGGCAACATTTCATAAACAGTGGGAGACTGGGTCGAAA